TATCAAGACAACATCCAACTCTTTGTATTGTAACATCAGTTGTTTAACTAATATCTTTAAGGTGAAAAATTGTGTGATGGATGTCCATGGAAGGCAAATAAGTTTAAATCAAATAAGTAAAAGAGGATGCAGTTAAAATTAATAAAAAAGTAACACATCCAACACTTCAAGCTGGCTGCTTGTGCTCTTTCAGGTCAGACATGTTCGGACTGTCAGGAAGCTCCTCTGTTGTTTTCCTCTGCCGCTCTCTGTTTAATGCTGGATGAAATAAAGTGGTGGTACTTTATTTACTTTGAGCAAATGAACATCATGTTCACAAGATAATTAATCCACCAGATAATTCAGAGGCGGTCTGTTTGATGAGTTTCACTCCTGGAGCTGCGAGGTTTTCAAGCTACGTTCAAACGGAACTCTGTTTACTGAACCAGCAGCTGCTGACATCATTACGCTCTTGTGCAATGCTGTGTTCAGGACAAGCATGGAAAACTCACCACTCTTATGAATCCTTACGCCAATACAGTCGCAATGATGCGTTTAAGTACCGAAACATGGTACCATCTGATGTTACGTGAATAGGTTCTCAGTAGTACTGACAGAATTCGGTCGGTACTTATAAAAGCATCAAATTCGGTACCCATCCCTATTCTGACATAGCAAACATTACTTCGATCCGCTGCTCCTGTTGTCCAATAATTGTAGCGGCTGCAACTGGACCCTCCTCCCGCTGTCGGCGTTTTCCTGGATATTCCCGTGATGTGAAGAGAACTGAATTTCTTTTTCTACATCTCAAGACAGCATGTAACCTCACCAGTACTACTTGATATGACAGAATAATTTCAACTATTCCAATAGTACCAACATGTTTCTGGGAATGTCTTTTCATTGTCCTGAGATGTGTAGGTCTTGTGAGACTGCGACTTTACTTCCTGTTTACTACAGTAATGCATAACGTCAAGGTCTAACGTAATTACTTTGTGTAGCCTGGTTTATTTTCTCCAAGCCAGTTGATGGAAACACATCAGATTTGCATTTCTTCTTTTTTCCCTTTGTGAGAGATTTTAAAAGTTCACTCAAAATTTTAATTAAAATTGGATGGAAACATGGCTAATGTTTGTTGTGACTTTGTGCTGTATAAATAAACGTAACTGAATATCAAACATTGCCTATGTTAAAACATTCAAGGCCATATTAAGTTTACTGTAGCCATTTAAATTGTTCACAAGTCATTTCTAGGCTCAACAGCAAGTTTTCTCCACAGTTGATACTCACGCATAGTCTCTTCTAGACAAGGCTCTGAAAGCATCCTGCTGGAAACCACTCCAACATGTCTGTGAATTGACAAAAGATACAGTTAGGTCTGTATACATTTGGACACTGACACAAATTTTGTCTTTTTACCTGTTTACTTAAAGTTATAGTAGGGTTGGGCAACATTGGCAAAAAAATTAATCACGATTAATTATGGTATTTAGCCGATAACGATTAATTTGACGATTAATCCCCTGGAGTCCCTGGACACCCTTATATCCTGGTCACATCACTAATTGAGTGGGAAAGATGCTTTTAGTAAAAATCTATTCCAAAATGTGTCAAAATTACAGACTTCAGGCTATACATCAATCTTTAAATTGTGTTGATAAATAAATAAATTACACAACTTTTTTTAAATGTTCCTATTTGAAGCGGAGAGGAGCAGTGAGCGGACTGACCAGAGAAATCTCCAGTCAGTCCACCTGCTGGCATTAATCGTTTTGTCAACTGCCAAAAAATACATTGATTAATGTTTTTCTGATGATTAATTGCACACAATACGATTATGCCCAACCCTAACTGAGAGGTAACTAAATGTAATTCAGTAAATGTGAAAATTAAATAGTATCAAATAACTACAAGAGCTGAAATCCTGTAAATATAATCCATTTCAAATTATACAATCAGTTTAGGGAAGGAATCTGTCAATCCTGTGCCAAAGAATGCCCATGCTATGATTTTAAAATAAATATATCTTCAGATGAAAACAATAAAACTACAGAAAAGTAAAATTAGAGGAAATCAGTTTAAATCATCCTTCATTTAGAATGTCTTCAATCTTAAAAATTTAAATATTTCAGGTTAAATTCTTACTTTTAAAAGGACAACTAAAGATTTTGGCGAACAACCAGATGTCAACAGGTTGTCCAGCGGACTCATGTCTACGAGGGGTGTAAATCACCAGCTTTATCACAACACAATATTACATCGATGTGTTTGGATGACGATTTGATATTTCTCAATATCACAAAGTCTGTCAGGATATGATTTCGATTCAATTCACATATGCAATCAATTCAATTGTGTTAGATGGGCATATGATATTGATTCACATTGAAAATATGACGATATAGATCGATATTTTCATTTTGCTTCGATATAACTGAATCGTGAACCACTGAAATTGATATCTCAATATAGATCGATGTATTGTTACTAGGGCTGAAACAACGAATTGATAAAAATCGATTATTAAAAGCGTTGGCAACGAATTCCATTATCGATTCGTTGTGTCACAGGATTTACACGTCCCTCGCCGTGTCGCGGAGTCGATTATGTCACCAGCAGAGCGTTGTCAATGACCGCCGTTAGTTACCAAGAAAGAAAAAACTCTACCTGTAAAGAGCCGCCCTCTCTGACTCTCGAGTGAAAAGCAGACTTCGAACTTTAAACCAGTTTTTAAATCGTGTTGTTAGGCCAAGTAGATCTTAAGATATGATAAAAAGTATTTGCTATATTTATTCTTTTTAAAAGATGTCTGATTTGATGCGTAGCGAGGAGGAAGTGCGTGCAGGGGGAGGAGGGCCAAAAGTATAAACTCTCCAGTTTTTTCTGACTGAGGTCCAAAGTTATTTGTTGAGCAGCAAAAAGTTTCAGGAGGAAGAAAAAAATAATAAAAAAAGACGCGATCGAGCAGCAGGTCTATATGTAAATAAATTCTAATTATAATAATAAATTAATAAGTTTTACATCTAAAAATCATATTTTATTATTTTAATCTATTTTCCTCGTTCAGCAACCTATTAAATTTCTGTTTAGTTTCATGTAGGAGAAATACACATTTTTTTCAGTCAGTATTTAATACAGCTGGCAAAATAAATTGTTAAAATATGTATGATGTGCTTCAGTTTTTTAATTCAGGAGATTATAAAAAAATCCTTCATTTTATGGGAAGACCCTCTTGATTCAAGAGAAAACTCTGGGTTTTTTTTTTTTTAAGAAAATGGCTGCTTATTAATTAATTGTTAATCAAACTATAAGGCAAATCAACTTCAGATTAATTATTATCAATAACTTGCATCTTAAGGATGACTTAAGGTTAACTTGATTTATATCTACTCATATTCATGTAATGAAGTGTTTTAATGATTTCGCCGATTAATCGATTATTAAAATAATCGTTGGTTTCAGCCCTAATTGTTACACCCCTAATGTCTACCCATGAAACGGCATGATTTGACCATTTTTACTGATTGTGTTTTTTTAATAAACTGTGTTGTTCATTCTTACAAAACTGTATTTTGTAAGCATTTATAAAATATACTGAATTTCACATAATACTGATTCAGATTAACATAAAAATATTTTATAATTAAATGTCTGTTTCCTGCTTTTTTTTTTTTTAATCCTCCATCCATTATGTCCTCTTTGTTCCTGATCAGGGGCAGGGTGGGGCTGGAGCCTGTCCAGGCTGCCTTTGGGTGAAGGCAGGGGACACCTGGTCCACCACAGGGACACCTGGTCCACCACAGGGACACCTGGTCCACCACAGGGACACCTGGTCCACCACAGGGACAACTGGTCCACCACAGGGACAACTGGTCCACCACAGGGACAACTGGTCCACCACAGGGACAACTGGTCCATCACAGGGACAACTGGTCCACCACAGGGACACCTGGTCCACCACAGGGACACCTGGACAACAGGGACACCTGGTCCACCACAGGGACACCTGGACAACAGGGACACCTGGTCCACCACAGGGACACCTGGACAACAGGGACACCTGGTCCATCACAGGGAAAACTGGTCCATCACAGGGACACCTGGACAACAGGGACACCTGGTCCACCACAGGGACACCTGGACCACCACAGGGACACGTGGACCACCACAGGGACACATGGACCACCACAGGGACACCTGGTCCACCACAGGGACACCTGGTCCATCACAGGGACACCTGGACCATCACAGGGACACCTGGACCATCACAGGGACACCTGGACCATCACAGGGACACCTGGACCATCACAGGGACACCTGGACAACAGGGACACCTGGACAGGTCTCCAGACAAAGAGATAATCAACCATCCTCTCTGTCACACCTGGA